AGAGTCCTTATTGTACTCTACTGTTCCAACAAAATGTTAATAAAATAAAATAAAAATACTTTTTCCCTTTCCCTTCTCTGAACCTCTTTCTGAGAGAGTTGATTTTTCTTTTAATTTGGGGAGTATCTTCAGCCAGCTGTCTTCTCTGCCTCATCTCCTTCCTGAGTGTGCCAGGGAAGATAACTAGTTGTGTTCTGTGAGAGGTGACCCCCGCTCAGTCTCCCAGGGTTTCTGAGGATTCACCTAAGTCCAGGAAATAGAGGAATTGTAGGTGGGAGGAAGATGACTGAGTTCCCATCCATCCCTGCTGACCATACTCATTGGGGCCCCTGTGGCTGTGCCCTTGTCCCTGTCTGTCCGTACAGCTTTATTAAGAAATTCAGTGCAGGCTGGAAAGCGCTTGTTTTCAACTCATTCCTGGCCCTTCCTTCCTTGCTATTGTATCTGAAAAATGCAGAGAACACTGCTGTCTTGTGTCATCTGTCTTTCTGCTTCACCTGAATAGGGCCTAGGGCCTAGAGCTCAGTGGTTGCTGGGACAGTGTTGGGGTTCTGAAAGGTCAGTCCTACAGGAAAAAGACAGCTCTTCCTGGTGCCTGGTCAGCCTGAGTCATGGGAAAGGATAGTGAGGGACCACTGAACTCACTGTCTACCAGTTGGATTTTGTTTGGTTTACATCTTAATAGAAGCCTTAGAAAAAGAAAAGAAAAAGAAAAAATAATCAGGTATGGCTGCCCTGGGGCATTCAGTGCTGGTGTCAGAAAAGCAAGCTTTATTGATCCTTCTTAGGATGTCCCTCACTTGCTCTGTTCTGTTAAAAGCAGCCCACCCTGAAGAAAGTGTTGGAGAAGAAATCTGGCTCTGTGCTGCTGGGGAAGCAGATCTCTGCTAGAGAGTGCTAACTGTTCTGGACACTTTTGAAAGTAGAGAACTGAGAGGACAGGAGATGTATCTAGATCCTGGGTGCTTGAGATCTTCATTCATCCCGAGAGAGTCTGAACTGAGAGCTCTCAGGTTTGCAGATCAGGCTTTTGGGGGGGGGGCGGGGGGGTGCTCCCACCTCTCAGTCAGCCCTTCTGCTTTCCCACATAAGTTCTCTTGTCCTTCCCTCCTTGTCTTGGCTAAAGCTGGAGAGCGAGGGGGACTTTTTAAGAATTATTCTCTCTCCATAATATATTTTAATTGTCATTACTATAGATTAGGGGGTGGGAGGGTAGGGACTCTTGAAAGTCACCAAGTAACAGAAGGGAAGTTAGTGAAATAACATCTAAATGCTTAATATATTTAATGTACATTATCAGATAATGCAGAATGATATCCCAACTAAGAGAAAATTTTAACCTTTATTAAAATGGGCTAATTCTTCCAAAGGCATCAGCCAAAGGAAGTTATAAGGCAGATGAAGGAAGGAGGAGGTTTATGTGCCATGCACAGGACAGTGAAGCCCTCTGCTCCCATCTCTGTTCTGCTCAGCCACTGCTCAGTCCCTCTGCAGTTAGATTATTCCTTGCAGATAGCAATCAACTGGAAGGAAGTGTGTGTGTCTAATTTGCATGAGATTATTTAAAACAAAAAAAAAAAAAGGTCTGCATTAGTCAGGGTGATGGTAAACAACGCAAAGAGATGCCTTTTATAATATAGCCTGTGCCTCAGCTTTCAGAGCCAAATATAATTCACTTACAATTGGCAGTTTCCTTTATTACTCCTTTTAACCTTTTGGATTCTGCAAGGTCTCAATCAGAGATCTGCATTGTTTATCTCAGTGTAGAAAGGAGAGAGATGAGACTAGGGCACCTGGGTGTCTTATGTGCGAGGCCTGCGTCTCTGTACCCGGAACGGCTACCAGGGCAGACCTCTAGTTGTGATTTCTCCTGCATCCCAGGTGAGCTACCTGAGATGCGTAAGAGTCCTGAAGCTGATTCGTCCTGCCTAAGACAAAAGGAACACTCAGGGAAGCATGGGCACCAGCATCAGCATTTCATTTGGGGTGATAGAAAAAGTTGAGGAAGAGGATACTCCAGTGTTGGAAAAGTTCTCTAGTTGTCAGATGAGACCAAGGGATTAAGTTCCTGTGTGGGTTCTGTGTAGTCCCAAACTAATTATTGACTCTTACCTAATCCTTTAACTTTTGACAAGACTAAAGAATTAAAGTGTAGGGGCTGGGAAGGTCGCTTAGTGGCAGAGTGCTTGCCTTGCATGCCTGAGGCCCTGGGTTCGATTCCTCAGCACCACATAAAGAAAAAAGCCGGAAGTGGCACTGTAGCTCAAGTGGTAGAGTGCTAGCCTTGAGCTGAAGAGCTAAGGGACAGCGCCCAGGCCCAGAGTTCAGGCCCCACGACCGGACCCAAAAAAAAAATTAAAGTGTAAATTCTGAGTCTTGTCATCAGGTGTTTCATAACTCTAGTATCATGGCAAGTTACCAGGCTGGTGGTGGATTGTCACCAGCATTCCATTCTTGAGGACAAGAAATGATTTGGGGCAGAGTTCCCACCCTCCTTGGATCTCAGGTTTTAGTAATCTACTGAATGAAGGGAATGAGTGGGATAAAATTTGAGCTCTAAAATTATATTTTATCTGATGAGATTGTTAAAAATGCCTTTTGTTTTAAAAGAAGCATGACTCATTAATTGTACCCAAATCAAAACCCCAACTTTCCCAGAGAACTAGGGATATTGAAATTTCAGCCTATGTGAATTTAGAGCATCAAACGATAAGGTCTGTGAAAAACAAGAGCTTGGGAGGAAGTGCTGATGCCCTTTAAACCGTGGCCTCACTGGTGGGCTTCACTGCGATAATGCAAGGAACATGTTTTATTAGGAAAATAGGCTTCCTAAAAGCTAGGGCTGGAGGGCAGAACAGCAGGCAGGGAGTCCTGTTCCTTTAACCAGCTCCAGCTCTCAGGGCTGCAGCACAGCCTGTAACTTACTGTATATTTCCCTAGTGTTAAACATTATCGTACTTGTTTATATTTGAAAGAGCCAAAGGGGAAAATGAGAATGCAACTGAATGCTCCTTTTGGGAAAATTATCCTCATTTGCAGCCAGCGGCTGACAAGGCACAGGATCCACCAGGTTTACAGAATTCCGTTGTGTACTAGTGACCAGCAGCCTGTGCTGACATCGCAGATGCTGCCTCCTTCTCTAGTGGCTGATTGCGAACTGGTTAAAACAATGTCTGTCTCTCTCTCCCCCCGCCACCCCCCCAATTGCTCAGAGAGGGATGCCCCTTCCTATTTAGGAAGAGTGATCTGCAGTACTTGCTGGCTAGAGTACACAAGGTGCAGGCTCCAAGGAAGCGTGTCCTCTGTTCTTGCCTGTCTGTTCTGTTGGGAAAGTAAACCCTTTGCAGCAAGCTGTCCAGTTCCAGGCCACTCACCTTCAGTTCTTGTATTTGGAAGGTAGGAGGGCTGGGTCGGTGATATTCTTGGCACTCTTTCATCTACCCTTCAACCTGGTCATCAAGTGCTGCCAGACTAGCAGTGGTGTGGCCTTGCCTGCCCTTGTCTAGCCCCTACCACACAGTGAACAGGCAGAACGAGGGGACGACCTGCAATTCTAAATGAGGACAGACTCTAAGCACTCCATTTGAGAAGAGGAAAAGGGTCCCAGGGTCATTTTGAGTAGTTCAGGCACTCCCTTGACCGGATGTGGTAGGGCATGAAAACTTTGAGGGATGGCTGCCTTCAACTCAGGCCAATCTGGTGCAGGGCAGAGCTGTGCTCTAAAGCATTAATGTGCACCATCTATTAGCCCCTAGGCACAGAGTGCAAGGCACCACGCTTTGAAGATGCTGATCCTCAGAACAGCCTTGTACTTCATCTACCCCCAGGGGCAAGTATACCATGCTGAGGGCCTCTAATGGAGAGCTGCTGACCAGATGTGGAAAAGCTCTCGGCTCTGGTTTAAAAGCTCTGTGTTGCGGCTCGCCTGGATATTGGGCTTCCCGGAACAGCACTGGCCAGCCCAAGTGGTCTTGGGCAGATCAGCAGTGACCTCCTCCTGTGTTTCCCACTCATTGTTGTAGAGCACTTTTGTAGATGCAGTTATTGCCCGAGTTGGCCCTGGGGGAACAGTTTTCCTCCCGTCTGGGTGCCATGCTGTGTTCCTGTTCAGTGGTTTGGTTGATGCCCTTACCTTCCACTCAGGAGTCAAGGTCTCCAGACAGCCTCAGACCCATTGAAAATACCCTAGCTGTGAGTCCACTGGAAACGAGGGGTGGGGGGCTTCCTCCCTCTGTGGGCAAATCCTCTCCACATCTTAGATGCACTGCAGATGGCACCCTGCGATTTCCTGCTGTCCTCTGGGTGGAGTGGTTTTGAGTGTCAGGAAGATTTAAAAAAGGGAAAAGAAAAACTAGCCAAAGGCGATCTAGGCAGCCTGTGATAGGCTAGAGCAATAATCATCTGAAAGTTTGGGCCTGGCCTTGTTTTGATCTGCTTTCTTGTTTTATTTTCTTCTTTACATTCCATATCCCATTCATACTAATCACAGTCAGTCCTGATTTTTCTTTTTATTTCTGCATTTGTCATAAAATAAAGCAAATTATTCCCGTCTTCGGAAACGATCTAGACTAATTAGTCGTCTCACCCAATAATTAGTTTTTTGTTTCCCTGTCTGTTTTCATGCATTATTGTTAGTTTTTTCCCCTCTTTTTTTTAACACCATTACAGATTAAAATGAGCCACATTTGCAGTTGATGGTATCTGTTTTCGGGGGAAGAATGGAGAATTGCAGTACGGAGCGACTTCAAAAGCGGCAATAAACTCAAGGATAAATTAAGGAAATTGAATGAGCCACATTTGGAAGCAGAGTTGAGGCTAATATTCTGTCGCTTAAGGTTAAATTGCAACTGAGAGGGGTTCCAGAGAATCCGAAATCAAGGAGGCAACTTACTAGGATGCCAACTTACTGAGACCATAAAGGCCTTTCCTCAAGGAAAATGTTCTTGCCTTGTGGACACTGGCAAAAGGTGCTTATGTGAGTTCTGTGCTCTTTTCTCTAGGGCTGACAGATGAAGAGATTGATCTGGCTTTCCAGCAGTCGGGCACTGCTGCTGATGAGCCTTCATCCTTGGGCCCTGTCACACAGGTGGTTCCTGTCCAGCCCCCTCACCTCATATCACAGCCATACAGTAAGTCCCCCACTCCAAATCCTTTTTAACTATGCCTGAGATTCAGGACTCTGGTCGAAGTGTTTATATAGTGGTGTGTGTGTGTGTGTGTGTGTGTGTGTGTGTGTGTGTGTGTGTGTGTGTGTGTGTGTGTGTGTGTGTGTGTGTGTGTGTGTGTGTGTACGTACATGTGCACACCTGTACTACAGTAGCTTGAACTCAGGGCATGGGCACTGTCCTTAAGCTTTTTTGCTCAAGGTTGACACTATACCACCTGAGCCACAGCTCTGCTTCTGGCATTTTGGTGGTTAACTGGAATCACAGACTTACCTGGCCGAGTTGGCTTTGAATTGTGATCCTCAGATCTCAGTCTCCTAAGTAGCTAGAATTACAGGTACAAACCACCAGCACCTGGCAAGAGTATTATTTTGTAGCTCCCAAACTCAGCAAACTGGGAGAAACCAAGTTTCTCCCAAGAATCAGAATAAATAAGTTGATTGTGTTACCTTAAGTATTTTGGTTATGTACAATAAACAAAAGCTATTGGCTTAATTTCCCATCTTGTACCAGTGATTTTGGATGTTACCAATTCCAATGACGATCTGAATGTGTGTCATGAGTGCACTATCCTTTGCTCACTGAAGTAATATGATTTTTAAAGTTAATATTTGTAGGTTTAGGTCAGCCTTCCCTTCCTTTTACATAATAATGCCATATTAATGTAGTATCAATATGGCACAGAATTTTGGATTTAATTATAAAGGTCCTTTTGAATGTTGCTTTGAATTTTTACATGAAAACATGATTTTTTAAAATTTTATTTATTTATTTTTTGTCAGTCATGGGCTTGAACTCTGGGCTAGGGCGCTATCCCTGTGCTCTTTAGTTCAAGGCGAGCGCCCTACCACTTGAGCCACAGCGCCACTGGGTTTTTTGTTTTTAAATGAAAGTTTCCATAGTAAGTATATCAATAAATGTACACATCAGAGTCTCATCTTTAAGTCACGTAGAAAAAGCATAAAATGAGCCGGGCGCCGGTGGCTCATGCATGTAATCCTAGCTACTCAGGAGGCTGAGATCTGAGAATCTCGGTTCAAAGCCAGCCCGGGCAGGAAAGACTGTGAGACTCCTATCTCCAATAAACCACTGGAAAACTGGAAGTGGCGCTGTATCTCAAGTGGTAGAGCGCTCGCCTTGAGCTGAAGAGCTGAGGGACAGTGCCCAGGCCCAGAGTTCAAGCCCCATGACTGACAAAAAAAGAAAAAAAAGAAAAAGCATAAAATGTTAAAATTTTATATGTTAAAATTGACTCAATGGCTATGGAAATTCTATTTCTTTAACGTAACTTAGCATTGTCTGTGTTATCTTTTAAAATGTCTTTTCTATAATTGTCTTAATTGTCTATCTCAGAAGTTTGTTTTGTTTTTTTGGGTGGTCCGGTTGTGGGGCTTGACCTCTGGGCCTGGGTGCTATCCCTTAGCTCTTCAGATCAAGGCTAGCGCTCTACCACTTGAGCCATAGCGCCACTTCCAGCTTTTTTCTTTTTGCTTACATGGTGCTGAGGAATTGAACCCAGGGCCTCATGCATGCAAGGCAAGCACTCTACCACTAAGCCACCTTCCCAGTCCATATCTCAGAAGTTTTATTTTTTTTAAAAAAAATGAACATACTTTAAAACAGTATCTGATACTAGATTTCAAAGGGTATATTATTTATTTATTCTATTTATTGTTCCAATACTGAGGCTTGAACTCAAGGCCTGGATGCTATCTCTGAGTCTTTTTGCTCAGGGATAGTGCTCACCGCTTGAGCCACAGCTCCACTTCTGGCTTTTTAAAAATAAAATTTATTGTTATTATTAAAGTGTTGTATAGAGAGGGGTTACCATTTCATAAATAAGGTAATGAGTACAATTCTTTTTGGACAGTGCCACTCCTTCCTTTGCTCCCCCTCACCCCCTCCAGTTTCCCCCTCCTACTTCCAAGGCTGTTTTTCTCATGGATTTTTCTTTCCTGGCTGGCTTTAAACTCAGATCTCAGCCTCCTAAAGAGCTAGAATAACAGCCGTGAGCCACCAGCGCCTGGCTCACTGGGCATATTTTTAAATGGTTAGTCCATTCTGATCTCTGAACACAACATCTGGAGTGATCTTCCTGTTCTCATCTTGCCCCACTGCTGCTAGGTAGGCGATTCCACACCGTCCACACGGCTAGGAAGTCTTCTCCTCTCTGGACTTGTGAGGAGGCAAGCAGCAGGTTAGACTCTGCCTTGTGTTATCATGTTTAGCGATCCCTTCTTTTTCCTTTGCATAAGGCTGAGCAAGGCCAGGGCACATGTACCCATCTGTCTCATCTGCTGGGGCCTGAATAAACCATTGGCAAGAGACCTCTGAGACCCTAGGGGCAGAGCTGCCATGGCAAGTGAGCTTTGGGTTTGAGCTCCCAGGTTACAGACTTACCAGTATGAGTGGAAGTCTCCTTTTCTCCTTCCTGGCCAGAATTCTTTCAGAACATTGTGTTTTCTGGGCTCTAATCCTACTTTATATGTTTCTTTTTAACCAGTCTCTACATTTCCCTTAGTTGTGTCCCTGAGCCCAGCCGTTTAATGGGATTTGTTGAGGATAGGCAGTGGCAGCTGGGTGTACAATTTTCTAAGATGCACATCTGTTCTGTTCCAGCTGTTTCCTCCCATGACTTAATACCAAACAGGTCTCTCGGCTACTTGGAAACTTCTTGTTGAGAACAAATTGTTTCGGTTGGTCACAGAGTTGGCCTAAAATGGCACGCATTTGTCTACTTTCTGGAGGCACAAAGGGTTAACACACACTCTCTCTCCCTCCCTCCTTCTCCTTCTCTCTCTCCTTCCTTCCTTCTTTCCTTCCTTCTTTCCTTCCTTCCTTCCTTCCTTCCTTCCTTCCTTCCTTCCTTCCTTCCTTCCTTCCTTCCTTCCTTCCTTCCTTCCTTCCTTCCCCCCCCCCTCTTTCTCTCTCTCTCTGAGGCAAAGGAATGAGCTACTGAGTCATTTAAATTGTCCTCGTGTCCAGCTTGCTCTGTAAAAAAGCATTACACGTTTTTAGGTATTTAAGTAGGAGTGTCTTTGAGTCTCTGGGCCCTAAAAATAAAATACATCTTCTTAGAGACAGACTTCTTCCTGCTTTGACAGTGGTATAAAAACAGTGGTAATGGTAATTTTCAGTGCCTGAAGTTTTCAGTTGTCACTTCTCGTACCATTACATTGCTTCTTTCAACTCTGGGGGTGACTCTGCCTCTTCACTTCTGTACTTTTGCCAAGAGGTGTCAAAACTGCTCAGAAAAAAAAAAAAAAAAAGGAAAAAAAAGGCTTGATTTTGATTAATATAGAGAAACAAGACTTTGCCTGACTGATAATAAAACTGATAAATGACATTTGAATTACTTGTAGCGGTAATTTATTACATAAAATATCTTTTATTTGACATGCGATTAGTTGCTAGAAGCATCACTCAATCTGACTAGTTTAAACACGCTCTAAAATGAACCCCAGTAAAAACCAGGGCTGTCGGCTGCTGGCGCTATGAAATATACTAATCCTGGAGTGAGGGAAAAATCTGACTTTAAATATTTAAGTGATTAATTGGGTTTATATATTTTTTTTACCTCTCTAACCCCCTTAATTACAAGCAAACTCAGGGGAGTTTCTGAACTAGGTGTGCAATCTGCATGCTTATCACCGAGGCATTGTCTGTGTCTGGGGAGGGATTTATGGCCTCTGTTCATGTGTGTTCCTGCTGATTTTACATCTAGATCCCCAGCAGCTCTTCCTGCCCATTCTTGACTTTTTAAGGACATTTCATCTCTGAGCCCAGGCCTAGAAAATGGGGTTCCCTAGGCCTAGCCCCAAATGCTTCTGTGTCAAGGGAGGGTCGCCTTCTAAGACCACCTTCAGGAGAATGTGCTGCAGATCTTTATTTTGGCACCTGCCAGCAGCCTACTGCCCTGGATCTGCTGCTGGTGCCTCTGATACCTCTGCTCCTTGGTTGACCTTTGGGTGTTAGAAATGTGGTTGACCTTGGGGTGTTAGAAAATGTCAGCAGCAGTGAGGATGATGGAGATCTTCCAGAAGGGGACAGTTTAGCTCCTTGGTGTTTGTAAAGTACGTACTGGATACTCAGTACGTATCATGTGAGAGATTAAGACACAATCTCAAAGAAAGAAAAAGATAATAATATAAGACATTGTGACGATGCCAGAATTAATTATATAGACAAAAAAATCCACAAGATTACAGAAAAGAGAAGAATTAATGTGGGCTTGGGAAGTCAGGCGGCTTTGTGAAAGTGGCAGGAGGCTGACACACAGGCGAAGAGGGTTGGTGTCACCTGGTGTGAGAATAAACTGGTGTTCCAGGCCTCAGAGAAAGTCGCGTAGAGCTCAAGAAAAGCCAAGCTGGGATCTGAGAGGAGATTCAGCATTCTGTTTCTCTTTTTGGCTTCTTTTTGTTTGATTCTTGAGTCAGGAATCAATGGGCAAGTTTGATATGGGCCTCATGAGGTCCTGCATGCAGGGTCCTGCTAAACACTTGGTTCATTGACTTGTGCTGAGCTTATGCACCTTTTATTCCCTCTGTTTCTGATAAACAAATCAAAGACTGACCTATAGCTTCATGTGCCACCTCTTAAGATAGGATCAAATGTCTGAGGCTGTGAGAGGTTTGAGTCAGTTGATAGAATTCCTACAAAGACTAGGTTCATTTCCTCCCCCCCCCCCCCCCCCCCACGTTCTGGGTCTTGAATTCAGGGCCTGGTTGTTGTCCCTGAACTTTTTTTGCTCAAGGCTAGAGCTCTACCACTTGACTCACAGTTCCAGTTTGTTTCTTTTATAGCCCTGTTTAGTATCTGCATTTATTATTGAATGTATACTGTGTGCCAGGCACTGTGTTAGACCTCTGGGATGAAAAGATAAACAGAATGTATCTGTTCCATTACTGTAATGAATACCTGAGACAATCAACTTACAAAGATTAAAGGTTTTGTTTTGCTCGCAG